GAGTTAGCACACGAGGTGGAAGACAAAGGGCACTGTCAAGCTGCTGTGCAATGTGGCTCACTTTACAGCAGTGTAAATTTGCATTGGCCATAACACTGTACAGTAATGATTCCTGAAACCCAGGAGTACTACACTAGGGTATTGCTTAGGTGAGGAAGTCCTCTTCAGTTCCCTGCAAATACATGGCACTGAAATTCATTCATTCTACTTGAAATGAACAATCATTCATTCATTCTACTTGAAATGAACAATCATTCATTCTACTTGAAATGAACAATCAATCTCACCTCTCCTGATTGCTGAAGGACTCCAAGTAACAGAGTTCATATCCCCAGCAAGGGTTAAAGTGGTTTTTAGTTGTCAAAAAGCATAAATCAGCTAGCAATCTGCTAACAAGCCACATACATGCTGGCAGGGCCAAAAAGGGACAGCAGTTGTGTGCTGGTTACCATAAAACCCCAAAACTCTAAAATGCCATTTGCTGGATGCAAGCACAGGTGCTTTAACAAATGGATAAACTAAAAATACAGAAGGCATGTGCTTGTCTTAATACTGAAAGCTTCAAAAATAAATTTTAGTGATGTGGAAGAAATGGACAAAGGAGCTGACCTGTATGAAACAGAAGAACTCCTTACCTATAATGACTTGTACTTTCTTGCTGATTTCGTCCTCCCGGTCATTGAACACATGACACCAGTACGTTCCTTGATGTCCCACATCCACGTATGTTACCTATGCAAGCATCACCACAATCATCCCAACAGACCTCCAAAAAATACCTGCATCAGGTATTTATGCCTTGCATCTAAGCCCCACAGGCAAAAAAGGGTTAAAAAACTAAAAGCAGCACTTCATCAGAAGTTACCAAGGTTCTGGAGAAATTCTTTTCTTAAAGGGAACTTTCTATAGTAAGCTCAAAGTGGTTAACATTCACTCCCAGGTGTGACCCATTGCAGTAACTTACTGTGTAGACATTTTTGCTCCCATTTGCCAAAGGAAATCCATTTCTGAACCATTGGTAATGAGGAATTGGGTTTCCAACAGCTCCACATTCTAGTACCAAAGCATCCCCCACTGTCAGGTTTTGTGGCTGAGGCTGATTACAAATGCACAACTTGTTTTCAGGCAAACCTGTTAAGAGCCCTTAAAAAAAGGAAAAGGAAGTAACAAGAAAAGGAAGTGTGAGACAACCTAAGCACAGCAACAGGGACCCTGTGCCTGGAGAAAGCAGGAAGGCATTTGAGAAGGTGCTTGTGCCACTCACCGCGAGGCGGATCCTGAGGCTCACAAACCTCAAGGCGCGCCCACCGACTGAACGTGAAAGAAGATTCACTGTTCACGCGGCAGGTGTAAAAGCCAGAATCCTTTACACTCACTGGACTCAAAACCAGCTCTGGAGAATTACCATGGGGAACCTGCATCACAGGTGAACCAAAAGTCCTTCAATTTCAACTGGTTTAACCTTAACCAGGATCAAGCATTATAGTATTTATTTCCAAGTCCTTAACACCATCTTCAACTCCTTCGCTTACTGGCAGGCTGAGACAACTGAACCTACAGCTTCCTTTCTGCCCCAGTCCACATTCACAGCCCCCAGGAATGAAGTGGTGTGAACGCAAGGAATCGCAGTTTTGTTTTAGTACATTTGTAGGATCATCCATCATTTCTTAAACTTTATGAGTTTTATGAATATTTACCGCAATCTTCTCTCATTGTGAATAAGAGTCTTAAAAAAAGGACAATCCAAAATCATTGTTTTATTTTCACTATTTAAAAACGCTGCATTCTCTATGAACTCTTACCTCTCTTTCCTGCTTGAACCACTGGTATTGCACAAATGGGTGTCCTGTTGCCCAGCAGCACAGCTTGACAACCTGACCAGAGAGCACTGCTTGGGAGTCTGGCTGTACAACGATCCTTACACCTTTAAGACACAATTTACACATAGGAAAGTCATGAAGAAATACAAGCCCATAATTTATATTTGCATTTAAATTGCCCTTGGAGCACAGAACATTTTTGCCATTAAATATACTTGAAAATAATTCGTTTGTACTGTGTATACACACAGCTCCAATTAGTTATATTACTTTAGGACATTCAAAATTGTCTTCCACTACACAAAATCCATACTCAAACTGACCAGTACTCGATGAAGCTCATAAAAGGTTTAAAGTATATTATTAATGCATTTTAGTTTTAAAGGAAATTATGTGTCTCATGGTATCACAGATCCCTTTTTGGAAAGATATTCTCAGTTTTAAATGTTTGCTCACTCCCAACAATTCCTTTGAGCTGTTCAGATTAAGGCCCAGCCTGAGGGAATCAAAGCAGTCAGAGTTTAAGTCCAACAGAGCACATTTTCCTGCTATTCCTTATGCACTCTTGTGAGCTGAATCTTTGGTTTCAGATTTAAGCCTCTGCCTCCTGCAGAACACAGGGCTGGGGTTTTTTCTGCAAGGTCAAATTTTCTACTGCAAAGCTTAACTGCCAGGAGAGCAACTCTGACGCCTCTTTGATATGACGCAGTTATTTTCTCAACCTAAACCATTCCAGATCTTGCTACAGGATGGTCCCAAAACCAAATCCACTGGAGACCAAACCCTAGTCAGCAAACTGAATGACAACACCCAGCCAAGTCCAAGTCTGCTACAAGACTGCACGAAAGCTTGGCTCACATTTAACCTCAGAATCAGATCAGCCAATAACCTCAGCAATCATCTGCATCCCAGCCACCAGAATGCAAGCACTAAAGATGATTTTGGTTACTGTAGAGGGCTACCTTGAGTGTTGCCAGTCTAAAATCCAGGGCTGCAGTGAAAGCACAGCCCAGAACTGACCTGAATGGCTGAGACACCGGAGAGCCTCTGTGTGCTCCAGGGCCTGCAGGGACTCGGCCAGCTCCAGCACAGTGCAGCCCCGATCCCCCAGCAGCTTCAGGAGGCTCCAGCTGGGACTGCCTTCTGGCTCCAGCACCTGCAGGGAGCACTGCTCCAAGTCCAGAGGGCTGTGAATATGGCACAGAGACACGGCACACACCCTCTCAATACCTTTTTCTCAGAAAGGACCTGGGCAAGCAATCACTTGGAGATAAATAAAAGTATTTTTAAAAATAGAGATGGGAAATTCCTAGCTGATTCGGACATATTTGCAGCATTTCTTTCAAGTTTCAGGACTTCAGAGGTTATTCAGTGACACCTCCACAGACAGAAACTGGTATTAGTGAGCTCGATGGTAAAAGAGATGCATGTACCTCATAATTCTCAGCAAATGTACTTCTATTTTTCACTTTTAAAGTGTCAGCAGAAAAAGTAGTACAGCACCTTTCATTTCCATGAGCCTAATTCAGAAGCCGTAGAGAGTGAGTCAGACTTAACTTCAAAGAACAGGAAGACTGATTGTAAAAAGTTGTTGTGAACAAGTGACTGCTGGAGCCCAGCCTAACACACCGACTGTACAGTGCAGTTAAACTGTGTCTGAACTTTATAGATTCAACTTTGGTGTCGTTGTCATCACGCACATTCAATCACAGCCAATTCAATCAACACAAAGAAATAATGACAGCTACCTAAAGAGAATACAAGGTTACGTATGTCCACTAAAAAGATTCATCAACGTTTCCTTCCTTAAATCACAGTGCCATGCAAGCCTAGGGGCAAGATAACTTCAGTACGTGGTGATACCGTCACTTACCAAGCGGACTTTCAGTGTTTTAGGGGATTAGAGAGACAAACACGCACCGCCGCCCGCGCCCCG